TGATCAAGAAGAGTGTAAGGATGAAGCCCCGGATGGTACTAGTGCTTCTCCGGCGTATTCAGAATCACGTCCTGAGGAATACGCTGTGCAGCCTGCCTTGGATACAAGGTACATTGAGCTGTTAAGTGTATGAGGTTGAGTGCTTGACATTTTATGTTGTTGTCTTGGCGTGTCTAACTTGGAATGGAAATGATATTTGCTCCTTTCCAATGAAAGATTGGAAATGGAGCTTGATTAATCTTCCAAAGATGTCTATGCCTACTCTGATGTTAAGAGCTTTGATTGACTTTGAATAAACTGAAGATGCAAGGTGAGGAATTGGGTTAGATTGACATAAAAATGAGCTTCATGTGAGGAGACACTCTAGCTGGCACATACATAAATTATTAAAATTTCCCAAACATAAAGAAAAAGTAAAAATGCATTTTGCCATTGGTTGGTTCTGAACATCAGATTGATACCAGATCTATCCACATCAATTCTGATTAAATTTTTTGCTGACCGGACAATCTTTCTGGTTTGCATTTATTCTATGGGTATCAAATAGTATTTGATTACTTATTAGGTTGAATATGATTTGCCCTGTTTCGTTCTTAGATATTCTAGGTTTGCATGTTTCAAGCAATTTGATGGTCAAGTGAATTAGCAAGTGGCAGCTTTAAATGAATATATCTGTTACTCTTTCTATTGGGAACTTGAAACTGGCTTCTATAATGAGCTATGTTTACTAAACGAGTTCACAAATTCTGTGCAAACTGCAGGATCAGTAATGAAGCTTCCCAAAATCTAGAATGCGAAAGCTGGTTGGATCAACTCCACAAGGAGCTGGAAAATCAAGGAATTAGTTTACCAGAGAGGTGATTTGATGATTTCCATTTGTGAATGCATATGTGACAATATTTTTGTTAAAAGAGTTGCACCATTTTTACAAATTTTCCCATTTTAAATGATCTTACTGAAAAAATTGGCCAATCAGTCTATTACCATTCATGCATTCAAGTTTGAACACCCTTTTTTATTTTGTTATAAATTTCTTTCATTACTAGAGTTAATAGGTCATCATCAAGTTGCTTGCCTCTCTGCTTTCATTCATTGATGCCTCAATGTAAGTATACTCTATGGCGAGTCTCATAATTGAGGATGAACCTAGTCTATGGAGAGTCTCATAATTGATGATGAACCTTAGTGTTTCTTCATCTCTCACAGATGTCAGCTTTCTCTCGGGAAGTTTCAACTGTAAATTTGGAAGGGTGGCATCCGACTCTGTTTTTTTGGATTTATTCATGCTTTTATCATATGCATATTCATTTTTGAATTGCTTGGTGTTCATTCTTGCAGCAGACCATGACATAGTAGTGTTTATGCAGAATCAATGAGGAAGATCTCCGTAGATTTTATGCTGCTGCAAATGGTGACTTTTTAGTTTTGCTATCATCAATTAAAAAGACAATCAGGTGGAGGGAGACATATAGAATTCTTTCTCAAGAAGAGCTTGAGACATGGGCGAACATGGTATTTTGGCATGGACATGATGTCATGCACCGACCTTGCCTCATAGTACGGCTTGGGCTAGCTTGCTCCAGCTTGCCTTCTCATGACAGACCTCGTTTTGCTCAGGCAGTCAGTATGTCCTTTTCCCCTGTGGTAGTGCTGCCTAGCTTTTCACTTTGCTACCACTTGAAATTTAAATAATGAAGACTTCCTCAGCATTATGTTCATATCTTAGTTCCTTTGTTTAATATGAATTGGAACTAGAGTTGCTGGGGAAAGTTTCTTTTAAAGTCTCTTTCATCCAAAATAGCCAGCTAGAGTATTCCATGCAGACATCAATGAAATCTTCTGATCAATGTTGTCTTTGTCCTCTACCACTGTCAGTTTCCACCAAGATGGATGCTTTTCAAACCTTTAAAAGTAATTTCTTGCCTTTAGGTTTGCCAAATAACTTATTCATATAATATAAACAAACATCATTTGACTTTTTTTTTTCTTCTATCCAAAAGGATCTATTTTCCTGGACCAGTGATTTTATCTATGGAATTAAATTTATTCTGTGGGCAAAGTATGCCAGAATCTAAAATCATTGTCTTTCACTGGTTATAAAAAACTCAAACTGAGATGAAACTCATCTTTATCATCACTATGGGTTAATTCTTGAAGCCATTCATTAATGTTTTAGCCTCAGATAATCCTTATTTGTATGATCTTATTTGTTTAGTTACTTTTTTGTATGATGTTATGATAAAGATTTATGGTTGCTATTGCAGTATCTCAAGTAGAGCATGGAGTGATGCATTTAGTCAGTCCAGAAAATCCTGAAGTAACTGTTCTAGTAGATTGTGCAGGATTAACTCCTTTCAGAATTCCCATGCAAATAATGAGATCCTGTTCTTCCCTCTTGCAAGACCATTACCCCAACCGTCTTGGCTGCTTGTTTGTTATACGGCTTCCTCCAGTTGTTCGAGTCATTGCTCAGACATTTATTCAGGTACTTTACTTCTCTGACTAAAATATGTATGCGTTATTTCTTAGCTTTTCAGTTTTTTTTTTTCTCTTTCTGTGGCTTCAAATTTGATGAGGCTTTAGTTATCTCCTTCTGTCTCTCTTGTGTATAATCACAGATCTGTGGCTTTTCTCAGGTTCTGAAACCAGTTACTAGGAAAAAGTTAAAAATTGGAGGAGAAATGTATCGCAAGGTTCTCTTTGAGAATCTACAGACACTCCCATCATATCTTGGTGGAGATTGCAGGTGCACAAAATGCTTAACTATTGGTGTTCTTGATGTGAAGCGTTCACGCAGAGACCAGATCAACAAGATACAGGCAAGCGAAGATGTTAGCAACAGCGAGGATATACCCACAACCAGTATGATTTGTCACGATGATATTCATGAGAGTGGGAGCTGTGACCAGGTATTGAGAACTGCCATAGTAGGCCTGCTCATGTTCTGGATTCTTATGGCTTTCATTGCAGGATTATATGATCCTGAAAGCAATCCCTTTCAATCTCAATAAGAAAAAAGTGGTGCTTTTTACTAGGGCCCTCAGGCTCCTTTCTTGTGTTTATTGGTCCCCATTGTGTTTAAACCCTTTCTGGTGAAAGTTGATGCTGTACTAGTACAACTAAATTCTTTTGATAGTCGAGCTAAGTATGCAGCTCTATATTGTTGTCCATATTCAGAAATTGTATCAAGGTAATAAATTAATATCATATTCTCAACTCTCAATGTCAATCCTCTCTGCCATAATATTTTTACTGAATTTCAAGGTCTTTTTGCTATAATATTTTGAAAATAGCAGAACCCAAGTAACGATGCTGACTAGAATCAAATAGTGATGAATTTTGCCCGGTTAAAATATATAAAGCATTAAAGCTGGTCCAACAGAATAGGATTAGACATGAAGCTTGTCTTTGCAATGATACAGCTCATGTACAAACAGATTTTTCATGGTGATGGCTGTTGGGTTACACTTCTTTTGGCTAGATGCCATCATTGTAACAATGATAGCAGCAGCAGCAGTAGTATACAAACAAATATCTTTTGATCTATTCCTAACTATTATTCGAAGTTGGGTTGCATTTGAATCTTGTTT